CAACCGGGCCAAGTCCTGCCGAATTGAATCAGCCGACGGCAAAGCTGATCTCGACTCTACAAGATAAATTCCTCTCAGTTTTGCCTCAACCCTCTAGACGACCAGGACGGAGAAAAACGCAAATGGTTCCGTTGCAGGTGAATCCACGTCTGAAATCCTACGATTCATCTCAAAAAGCGATGTGTTGGGATAATTCCTAACAAGCGGTCCGAGTGAACACTCAGGACACGTTATCGGCCCGCCCACACATAAAGAACAAAGGATAAAGGTCACACAGGCTGGCTTGGATAAGGTCGTGCGCTGACGGGCGCACGCGCGATGGCCAATCAAGTCTTTAGGCACATGAAGACACAACCTGGTTGGCCCATCTATAACTTTGCTTATTGCATATAGCCCCCGTTCAAGGGGCAATAAACGACTTCCTTTCCCTTACGACCTTGTTCGTTGTTCTCCTTGCTGAATTGACACAAACAGACTGGAGAGCACAAATCTAGACTGGGAACCCATTACAACAACTACAACAGAACTTGGCGTGGTATCAGCTATGCCCTATGAAGCATCCCCGCCTGTCACACTGCACCCTGAAGATTTACCTAAAAGGCCTTAAACCCAAGCCATCAAGCTCGGCTTGTTCAGTACCGGGGATACATCTGGTCCCCAAATTCAGGTTTTTCTTCTTGCCACTGGTGACTGCAAAAATATACTGTGCTGTTCTTCTGCCATCTCCGCGTACGTTCGTGTCTTCACTCCTTTGCCATGGATTCTTTCAACGCACTTCCTTCACCCGTAGTTACGAATATTGGATGTGCCCGTCCCAAAGAGTAGCAAGAACAAATTATGCGGACCCAAGTTTTTTTTGCAACCCTGACGCCGGACGCACCTATACCCACTTGGGTATTGTTGGCCTCTGCTTTTGTCTGCTGAATATGTCGGTCTCCTATCCGTCACCTATCACTTTGCCCGGTGATCTGAGATTGCCCCCATACCAACCATGCGAACACTGACTTTCACTCACTGCATACCAAAAACTCCTTTCCCTCCCTGATCGTAATGCCCATGTAGAGTCCCAATTCGTGTTTTTTCTGATTTTATGGGTTGTATCCGGACGCACCCCAAGTCCTGCTTTCGGACTACGAAAAGGTTAATCTTGCAGTTTCACTTCTGAATATGGATTGACCTAAGCACCGCTCAAAAACTGGCAAACCTGTGGTCACTCCTCCCAGATAGTCAGTTCTGGCTGATCAACCAAAATAGTGCTCCGCCTCACCGTCCTGCTCCCGGACGAGGTAATCACACCGGCCTCCCCCATCGCTATTGATAGGACGGCCGAGTCATAACTCGGGCCATCCTGAGGGCACGAGAACAAAGGACTCTAACAGGCTATCGGTGCATGCAGAGCGCGCAAAGAGAGTGACCTTCAAAGGCTGACACCCGAGGACACAAGAACAGCCGCCGGCCAGGTTCTGAGGTCACGCATGACAAGGGCCACGAA